CTCACCAACCCCTAGCAACCAACCACTGATCTCTTTACTGTCTTCCTAGTTTTGCCTTTCCCGGCATGTCCCATTTTTTTGTGTGTGAAAGTAAAAATTTTTATTCTGATTTATTTCTCATGTATAGTTCAATATAATGCCAGTGTTTAATGGCAAAAATTTGGTTCCACTGAAACTCCGTAATGCTAGAGAGCTACTACTTTTTCCAGGAAGAGGTAAACAGCTGGAAAGAGAAAGCACACTTTCTAGCAGCATGGCAACTTAAACCACAGACCTGACAGATCTGTAACTTTTACACTAAAAATGGCACGAGCATGTATTAGCTGGTGACAGAAGTGAGAAATGGGGATCAAGACATGAACACCAAAAGGTGCACTATATATACTATAAAGACAGACAAACCAAATATATCTATAAGGGTTTTAAAGGATAATTATAGAAAAGGGAACCAAATATTTTACTCAAATGTTTTTTAGAGCCTTTCTGTAGAGACACAAATATATATATGTATATTTATCCAAAATACGTTTTATACAGATAAATGTTTCTCAATTAAATATGGGACCAAAGCTATAGTTATAACATAAAGCAGTCTTTTGTAAGACTATCCACCTGAATTTTCAATTGCTTTAAAGTTAGTGCATTAGTTTTCCAAACATAATTACCTGACATCTTTTTATAGATATAAATCAAATAGGTATTGTCTTTTAAAAGGGTGTGCACGATATTTCTAAGATGGTGTGCATATCAAACTTATGACAAGCCCCCAATAAGAATCATTATTAATAAATATATCAAAAAGTTGGATTTTCCTTTTCACAGTAAATATTTTGTGATTACCAGTTGGTAAGTATTGAAAATGCACAAGGAAGATTTTACTTCACAAGTACTTTTATGTTAAGATAATTTGATCCTCTATATATGATGATAAATCTTCACATGTTATAACCATTAGCATGTATTTTTTTAATGGGAGATTAACACTAACAATCACTATGTATAAAATAAAGCACACAATTATTTTGGTGATTTTACAAATTGCTTTTTCCAGGTGTAAAGGCTACAAAAATTCCTAAAATACAGAATACTGAAAACATTAAAGTTTGCCATCTGACTTCGTAGTATTTCCATTTTACCCTGAAAGATAACTTTAAAAATATGACCTTGTTGGAACAGGTCACTTTGCCAATATAAAACATTGGTGAGTGCAAGAAATTGTTTCACTGATATGTGGGATTTCTGCAAATAGTATTTTTTTTTTCTCCTCCAAATCATTAGAAAAATGTTCGAAGATTAAAAAACAAAATAAAATGTGTGGTGGCCCCTAAACTATTTTGAAGGCAGGTAGCTTAGTCTAAGTTAAAATATTTTTTCACTCATAGTAATCATCTTCCCCTCAAATGCCCTTTTTAAAAATGCATGAATCAGTATAATAGCAAGAATCAAAGAGCAGAAACTGTATTTTTCAACAATAGAAAAATCTCTAGTGCTGAAAGATATAGTAAAAAGCAGATTTCTTTGGGGACACTGATCAATTAGTTTCTAATTCATTATGTAGATTTCTCTTTTCTATTACGGGGAGAGTCTGCTCCATTTGATGTCGCTGTTCCATTCACACCATTTTCTGGTCCTTTTCTAGAAGACCAGCTGTCTTTAGTCACTGGTAGTTTCCTCCTTACAGGTGGTGCCTGAAAAGTAGAGTGTTCCCTCTACCTTTGAAGCTGAAAATTAATAAACTTCCACATCACGAATGCTTGAGTAATACAAATGGATGCCAGAACAGCAATTCTAACAGCCAACACATTGAAGTTTCCAGTACTGAAATCCAGCTTCTGATTCTCTGCTCTTGCAAGGCCAAAACCAACAATGAGTTGGTTCTTTCTTTAATGAAAGAATTAAAGTCAGAAGTCTTCCCAAAACAAAAAGAACTGCCCACAGAGAAAATCCTTTCTGATGTTTTTCACTACTAAAATAAAACAGGCGGGAAATGTGGAAAAGAAATTCCACAAAATAATGCAGCACCAGAAGAACAAGTCCTAGATGATTCAGGTTCAAAAGATAAGCTCCAGCAATGTGAAAGAGGTAAAGACCAATGTAGACAAGCTGACAAGGAATAGCTTCTTTTTTGGTTTTCTGGAAGTAGAGTTCAGGGAAAGCATGAAACCAGTAAACCAACTGTGATATGTAGAAAAACTTCACTTGAAATCTCAAGAGGTTATGGGGATAAGTCCTCCACAAGATTGTTGGGTCTGAGATGTAGTTTTCAGAGATTAGAATGAATGTTCCCCAAACACAAGCGAAAAGGTAGAATGCACTAAGCTGACCAGATTCATTAAACTTGCTGTGCTTCATTTTGAAGAAGTGCATTTGTCTGTTAATTTTATCCAACACATACTCTTGAATTATAGCATGAATAATTATCGCCACTAACATGTAGAAGAAAAGTGTAGCCAAATCTTTGATACCATAGTAATAAAGGAAAGCTGAATAGTTTGTTCTTCTGTTGCAGGGAGGGTAACATTGTATTAAAGAGTAACAAAAATGATAGAAGCCTTTGCTGTTATCAAAGCAAAGAGGAAGAAAAGTTTGGTAGCTGGTAATGAGGCAAGAATTAAAGCCCTGGGTGTACTGCAGGCAGTCACTGCCCTCCAAGTAGGCAGTTGACCCCTGGCTCAGGTGGTGCCTCTCAATCCTCACTCTCGGTCCTGGAAAGGGACCCTGTCCCTGAGGGCCTGCGGCTGGGGCCGGTGCAGGGCGCAACATTTTTTGAATCATACAGATCATTGTCTACACAGGTTGTAAACCTGTACACCCCATTTAGAATGCAGCTTAAATTGCATGGTTATTTGTATGCAGGCATACACAAACACAAATTACAAAAACTTGTATTGAACTACAAAAGTGGTCCATGCCCTTGAAATCTCTCTTGAGGAGACTTGTGAAGGTGTCACTCAGGAAATCAGGGGCTTATCTTTAAAATCCTATAATATTCTAATTTGTTCATGTAGTGTTAAAACAGATAGGGAGAGGGGAAGGTGACAACAGTGAGCCCCAGAAATGGCAACTTTTTAGCTGAATCTTACAAAACATCTTCTTCAGACACAGAAGAAGAATGGGCATTCCAAACAAGAAATAGCACACACAAAATGACAGTCAAGAAAGAATATACTATATACAAGGAACAAGAGCAACAGGAACAGCTTTGTGACCAATGAATAGTGCGTGGGGCAAGAGAGTATTGGGATGACAGGCAAGGGCTAGACTGAAATGTTCTGAATGCCGCACTTCATGCTGTCAACACCAGAGCCCAGTAAAAGTTATTCAGCAAAGGAAATACGTGTTCAGATTTACATTTTAGAAAGATAACTCAGGCCAGGCACAATGGTGCACAACTATAATCCCAGCTACTCTGGAGGATGAGGCAGGAGGATAGAAGTTGAATCCCACCCTGTGTATCAGCAAAACCGTAGGGGTGGGGGGATCTTTGAGAGAAATGTATTACAGAGATTTGGGCTGTTACTCCTTTCAATAACATGAGAATTTGGGAGGACAAGGCATACCCAAGTTAACTACTTTTAACTACTAAGTCAGGATCTCTGGGCTCATGCCTGGGTACCTGCAAATGTGACATGTCTACCACCAGAGTGATTCTTTTCTCCTGGGTTCTTGAATTGCCAAATTAAGAAACAGAATGGGTTAGATGTTTGTGATCCCCCTCCAAATTAGCTCAAAGGAAAAAACAACTGTTTTAAATCAAGCAATTGTTAAACTATACAGCAAGATGTCCCTCCATATTCATGGATTATGCAAATATTTGGGGGAGGAGAGATAAAGTAAAGGAGGGTGTACAAAACTGATATGCAAACACCGTGCTATTTCATATAAGGGACTTTCGCATGTGAAGAGTCTGGTCTCCTTGGGAATCCTGGAAACAATTCCCCACAGGAGCGGGGGAGGGATTATTCCCACCAGTTCTACTTTAAAATGGCAAAGCACTCCTTTGCATATGCCTATTTGGGAATCAGGAATTCCCTTAAAATATTTGTCTCCAATTAACAGATTGGATGACAAGGTAAGAGGTCTCACAAGAAGATGGAGACGTTTGTTTGTTTGGGTTTGGTTTTTTGAGACAGGGTCTTGCTGTGTAGTTCAGGCTGGCCTTGAACTCACTATGTAGTCCAGGGCTGCCTCAAATTTACAGCAATCCTCCTGCCTCAGTCTTCTGAGTGCTAGGATTATAGGCATGTGCCACCACGCCCAGTTGAATACTTTCTTTTTAAAAAGAAAGTGGATAGATTAAAACAGAAACCATATGTCCTCTGAAAAAAAGATACACGGGACGGAGAATGGAGAGATTCAGCCTTTCGACTATTGTCCATTCAACACCTAAGCGAGGCCAGAATCCTAAGAGCCTGTCCTTAAAGCAATGCCATCTCCAGTTTCCGGGGTTGATTCTGCTCCCCAAGACCGTAGAACCCGTTATCTTCCTTAAACTTCAGTCTCAATTCCTAGTTTGTAAAACGAGGCGCTGACCACAAGTGATAACTTTGTAAATCCCTGTGCTTCCCCGCCGGCCTCCGCCCCACCCCACCCCCTTCCCCGGGGCGCGCGGGGAGGTGCCAGCCGCCCCCCGGGACCGCGGAGCCCAAGCGGAGCCCTTCCCCCTGACCGGCTTCTCCGGAGCTATAGAAAAGCCAACAGTAGCAGATCTAGGGGCGGGGAAACAACGCGGCTCTAACAGTTCCTTTCCCTCCGGCACCCTCCCCCTCGGGGCGTCGCGCCCCACTCCCCCTTGCACCCGGGTCTCCCAGGTCCCGGAAGGTGGAGGTTGGAGATCCGCGGTGCCAAAATGCTCCTCCCACGCTGTGAGGGCGGGGCTTGCCTCGCACCCCCCCACCCCTCCGAGCCGAAGCCCGGCTCCCATTGGCCGCGGGGCGTGACGGGCGGGGCGTGACGGGCGGGGCGGGGTCTCCTGGAGGGGCAGTCTTGGCGGGGTGTGCACCGCAGGGTGTCAGTTTCGGGATCCCGGTGACCTGCGCTGCGAGCTGTGGGACTGAGCGCTGGTTCTCTCCGAGGCTTCTCCCCCGGGGCTGGCTGAGCGCCTCCGTCCCCACGCCCGAGTCTCCCTCAGCGCGGGCCCTGCTTGCGTCTCCTCCGTGGTGCTTTTCGCTCCGGAAGACTTTCTGTGTTTGTTTTCTCCTCTTCCCTCTTTGTCGCCCCGAAAGCCGGCCTCGCCACAGCCCCGCTCGAGGGGGAGTCGGACTCGCGGAGAGAGCCGGCCGCCGCTCGCTCCCTGCCCCGACCCCTCCTGCGCGCTCGCCGGCCGCTGCGCTCACCCTGCCTGCCGCCCGCGCCGTTCCCCGAGGAGCCCACGCCGCCGTCATTGATGCACCCATTCCAGTGGTGTAACGGTGAGTCCGGGGCAGGCCGGCCCGAGCCGCGGGGGGGGGGGGGGGCGGGCGCCCCCTTCTGCCGGGCTTCTCTGCGGCGGGACGGCGGGGTGGGCGTCCCGCCGCCCCGCAGCTCTGCACAGCGCGGGATTAGAGACAATCCGGGTTTAACTCCGGCGCCTCTGAACGTGTGGCACGCCAGGGGCGTGGGAGGCCAGGGTTCCCACCTTTGTGTGGCGGTTCGGCTCCGCTACCCGCTCCCCTGCCTTTGTGCGCTCCAACTCTGTTCTTTGTTGTGGTGGTGGGAGAAGTAAATCCGCGCTCGGGCTGGGATCTCCTAGAGGGAGCTCAAGTTCCCCGACCTGAAACTTTGCAGGCTATTTTAAATATGTATACAATGCTGCGTGCGGGACGGAGCGCGGGGGTGGCTGCCTCTCTCTTTGTTGGACGTTGAGCCAGTGGAAGACGCTGGTTAAAGACTGTTTCTTCATTGAATTGTTATAACCTTGCAGATATCTCGGTGCCCAGCTATCCTTGGGATGCGGAACCGGTCTGGCAGGAGCTTGGGGTCTCTTTCTGAGCCTAGGAGGTGGCCGCACCTCCAGGAGCAGACAGCTCCCCGCCCCCTGCGCTGCCAAAACCCTCACCTGGGTTGTGCTGCTTAGTCAGGTTAGCTCACCTGAGACTTTTTACCCGTCCAGGTGATACAGGTTACCCTTGGGTCCGGAATTCTCATCTGAACTACCTGAAAAGTAGAGTCCTTCTGAACAGGATTGTTTCAAAACCTTAGATCCTAATCGCCATCTACCCCTCCCGCAGCAGTAGTCTTAGCGCTTTGATCTCCTTTTTCGAAGGCTTGGAGAGTTTAGAGAAGGAGGAGTCGGGAGAGAGGTGAGAAGCAGCTGGCCTTATTTGTGTGGCAGGCTGGCTGGCGGGGAGGGGGTCCATTCTTGAAAGTAGACTCTTGCCGGATCTTGGATTAATTATTTCAAGAGGCTTTTGTTTTAAGGCAGGGTTTGGGCAGCATGTGTGTGAGTGTCCTCCATCCCCCTTCTTCCTCCTTTTGCTAGTCAGGTCTAATTTCCTGAAAATGAACTGAGCTGTGTGTGATAGGCGAGTAATGGGCTGGGGTGGGGTTGAGGAAGGACGGTGCATCCCAGCATCTGGGAAAGATTCCCAGTGGTGGGGAAGGAGAAGCAGTTCCCAGATCTGGTCTTTCTTGGCCAGCCCTTCTCTGACGTCATTCGGCTCACTGGCTGCCAGCTGAGATGAGACACTCTGGTGTCAAGGTTTTCATAGGTTGGTGAGACAATGGAATGGAGACTTAGGGAGGACTAAGGCACTGTCGCCAAGGCTGGACTTCTTCCTTCAGCCCCTTTTGTATGAAGCTTGAGAGCCCTGGAGGTCTTGCTGCTTTATTTTTCACTTTTTTCTTGCCCTCTGTGGTACTGGGGATTAAACCCAGAGCCTTGCTCATGCTAAGCATGCACCCTACCACTGCACCTAGCCTACTCTTCCAGCCGTTGTCTCTCACTTCCCAAGGTGACTGCCAGATGCTGTCCTTTGGCTCGGCCACGTTGGAAAATACCTGGAGCCCCTGGTATGTGGGGCTGGTATTCTCTGCCCTTATACGTTTTAGAGGAATAACTCCATTGTTAGCTTTTGGCCAGCATACTTTTTCCCCACTTCTTTTTAATAGAACAGATTGAGCATCCTTAATCAGAAAATCCAAAGTCTAAAGAAAGTCTGAAACTTTGAAGTGCTGACCTGATACTATAAGCAAAAATTCTATACCATGGAACTGTTTCATGCCCCCAAATTATTTTAAATATTATATAAAATTGCCTTCAGGTTATATGTATCAGGTGTACATGAAATGTAAATGAATTTCATATTTAGATTTGGGGTCCACTCCCATTATGTATACCAGGATCCCACTCATGAGAGGTACATGGAAGAGCCCAGGCACATGGCCGGGGGTGACCCTTCTTAGAGCATCAAATGTAGCTTTAGGAAGAGGTGTGGACAAAAGGCCTCATTGGCCTTTCGGATGAAATTTTCTAGAAGGGAAGTCCTGAGCCCTCTACCAGTACAGACTGAAGGTTGGCTCTTTTGAGACAGGGTCTCACTATGTAGTTCAGGCTGGACTTTTTTTTTGGTAGCAGGGATCGAACTCAGGTCCTTGTGGCGGAACCACTGAGCTAAATCCCTGGCCCAGTTCAGGCTGGACTTGAACTCACCATGTAGCTTTCTGCCTCAGCCTCCCAAGTGCTGGGATTACAGGTGTATGCCAATATTCACTTCTGAAGGTTGGCTCTTTAGCCAATCCAGCATAAGGTCTTCATGGAACATTGATCTCCTTTTGGCCCATACAGTGTCTTAGTTACTTTTCTCTTGCTGCTGAGACAAAATGCCCAACACCCACAGTTAAAGGGGAAAGGGTTTATTTAGCTCACGGTTAATAGAAGTTTCAGTCCATAATGGACTGGCTCCAAGGCAGGGTGGCAGAGGAGCCACAGTTCATTGCTCCACAAGAGAGCAAAAGCAACAAGAGGGAACTTTTTTTTTCTTTTTTGAGACAGTCTCACTATGAATTTCAGGCTGGCCTTGAACTTTCAGTGATCCTCCTGCCTCAGCCTCCTGAGTGCTGGGATTACAGACCCCAGCCCAGCCCTAGAGGGAATTTAACTGTTTCTTTCTGCCCCCCTTTATCTTATTCAGACTACTTAAGTAGCACTCACACCCTTAATCCTAGTGCCCTTGAGCCTAGCATTGCATCATAAATCAATTCCAGCATCACACACTCTATCTAGATCCAGCCACCTCTGCAAAAGCCTATTACCACTTGAGACTTTCGGGGACATCTAGACACAAGCCATAATAGAGAGTAAATATTTCAGTGGGAAAGGCTGCTGAAAATAATTTTCTAACCCCTGCTGGAGCCTAGAAGGCCCTTGCCTTCCGGTTGAGCACAGCAAAGTTTAGTAGCTGATTATTTCTTTAATTTCCCCCTTAATCAAAAAGTCTTTTGGAATAAGAACTTCTTTTGCTTTTTGCTTCTCCACAATGTCGGTCACTACATAAAGCAGGTCTTCAACAATACATGTTAGTTAACTGGTTATTTAATAGCTGAAGTCAGTTTCTGGGCAGTTTTCCCAAATATCAGTCTTCTTACTTTAAAGTAGGAGCTTTTGCCAAGGGACCCAGGTTGTTTTGAGAAAGTGGGGAGTTATTTATCTGTTAACTAGTTACTGAGCAAGCCAAACAGGAGGCTAAGCACTGGAGAATATGCAGAAGTCCAAATTGCTGTCTTCAGATACAGGAGTGTCCAGGCTTGTTTCTTTCTTTCATTCTTTCTTTTGACAGAGTCTCACTACACAGTCTAGGTTGGCCTTGAATGTGCTGTGCAGCCCAGGCTTGAGAACTTGTGATGTACTGGTACTGCAGGTGTGCACCACACTGCCTGGCTTGGTACTTCATTTTTTATACTGAAAGGCTTTGTGCCTCTTTTCGGTCCAACATGATAAGGTCATCCAATCATTCTTCTATGTTTTCTTACCCTTAGTGTCTATCACAGCGCTTAACACTTGTTTGAGTCAGAATAAGTTGATGCTAGGAACAACAAGGCACTGAGTGAGCAGGAGCCAGAGCAAGTGATATAGGCTGTGGGTGCTGTGGAACACAGGAAGAGGAGGCTCCCGGGACTTTCGCAAAGTCCAGGGCTGGCAGACTTCAGAGAGGACAAGGGGATCCTACACAGGGATGGATGAAGAAAGATGTGGAGGCAAATGGGGAAAAGCTTGGGCAAGAAATACTGAGGTCCCAGCCACGGTGGTGCATTCCTGTAATCCCAGCATTTTGGGGGACTGAGGCAGGAGACTTGCAAGTTTAAGTTCAGCCTGGGAAACTTAGTGAGACTCTGTTTCAAAAAATTAAAAAAGGGGCTGGAGATGTAGCTCCATGGGAAGGCCCTGGGTGCAATCCCCAGTACCACGAAAAGAAAGAATGAAGAGACTGGCCCGACACAGGCGTAGTGCAAGAGATGCTGAATGGGAGATTGCAAGGCAACAGCGAGCACATCCAGGAGGATGTGAAGCCAGACATGAGTTTGGAAAGGGGGTGATAAATGGAGTGGGAGGGGGTGTCAGACATTCGGGGGGAATGAGAGAAGGAACCAGAAACAGTGATGATACCAGTGAGGAAACAAGAGTAGGTGATGAGTGTCTGGAATAGCTTTGTGGCCGTAGAATGGGGCGTAGTATGGAAAAGGCTTTCGGGAAAGCCAGGATGGTCCCCCCTCAGAGTGAGGGGTGAAGGAAATGAGATTCACTGTGTGGGAATTGACTTCCAGTCTCTCCGGCCGGCTTCTGTTGAGCTGTGGAAGCACTGGTAATTGTCAGGTAGAACTTTATGGTCTGTTTTAATGGGTCCTGGCTCCTAACCAAGATGTAAGGAAAGTGCCTAGAACCGAGAGCCTGAGTGCGGAGAACTTTTTGGAGCTGGACCTTCTTAGCTGTTTGGCTGTGGGCGGGTCATTTAATGACAGAGTCTTTTTCTCTTGGGTGGGGAAGTAACATTTTACTGTGGCATTACAAAGATATAATTGGAAGCCAAGCATGTCCCTGTGGCTCCTGCTACTCAAAAGGCTAAGAGAGGAGGATAACTTGAGCCTAGGAATTCTAGGCCAGACTGGGCAACATAGCCCACTTTTGTTATAAAAACAAAATAAAACAAAGCTTAAATTGGTGGCGTGGAAGTGTGGTTAGGATGTAGTAGCTACAGTGTGTTCTGTTTAATTGAGGTTTTGTTTTTCCCTTTCTCCACTACCATCCTCAGCCTTTGGCTTTTCATCAGGTTGTTCTTTCCAGCTACAACTTGACTCCCATCCTTCTTGGGAGACATGACAATAAGAAAATCTTTTTAAGCAGAACTCTTTGTTTCCTTGCCCAGAACCTGGTCACATACCCACCTCAACATCAACTATTAGCAAGATGATAATGACCACAGCACTTCAAGGACCAGTTGGAATCTGTGAGAAGGGAAGTGTCTAACGGCAGGCCAGTGCTTCTCTAACTGTGCAGGGCCATCACTTGCAGGGCTTGTCAGAATGTCCATTCTGATTCACTGAGTCTGGCGTGGGCCAGTGATTCTGCATTTCTAACAAACTCCCAGGGTCTGCCATTGTTACTGTGCGCTTTGAGTAGAAAGTGGCAGCTGACCAGGAAGGGAAGCAGTGACTCCCTACCCTCAGCTCCCATAGCTGCTTTCTGGAGTGCCAGCCTCATCTTGAAGGGGACAATTTCTATTCTAGTCCTGGGACAACCTGTCTTCTGGAGTGAGTGGCTTAGTAGTGGCAAATGATCTTTGCAAATGCACTTCGTAATTTAACAGCCAATTTCTTACAACACCATTTCAGTCCTAAATTTTGCTCATTTTCCTATACAAAATGATGCTTAGAGAGGTAACTTCTTAAAGGTCATCACAGCTAGCCAGAAGTACTGCATATATTGCTCCATTTTGCAGATTGGTTAAGTAATTTGCCCAAGATAAGGTATCTAGTCACAACCCAAAATATCGGCCCAAGCCTCTGAGTGAGAAGTTGAGCTCAAAGCCTGCCATTCCAGCTGAAACAGGATGTCATCAGCCCCAGTGGTAAATTTCTAATATTATTTTTCCCCTCTTTCTTTGCAGGGTGTTTCTGTGGCCTGGGACTGGTTAGCAGCAACAAGTCCTGCTCAATGCCACCCATCAGTTTCCAAGACCTTCCGCTCAACATCTATATGGTCATCTTCGGCACAGGCATCTTTGTCTTCATGCTCAGCCTCATCTTCTGCTGCTATTTTATCAGGTTGGTGGGCACTGACCAACCTGGGGAAGTATGTCAAGGAGGGAGGAGGCCCAGGGTAGATACTAACCTTCATCCCAAGCCCTGCTGGGAGGACATGACTCGGCCTGCCCTTCTCTGGGCCTTTGGGACTTTGTGATTCTATTTATATCAGCCTATCAGGTTGTCCCAGAGTACATAAGGTCACCATCCTGTCTCTGGTCTAGTTATTCTAGAATTGCTGTCTGGCTTGAGTACTGTAGCTGGTGACTCCCCAGCTGTTCCTCTCTTGTTCTCACTCATGTCCTTTGGGCAGCCAGGAACGGGTGCCCATCAATGGCCTCTTTCTTGCCCTCCTGGGAAAGCCTGTTGTCAACTTTTCTGATGCTGATATTGGCAAGCTAATGTTGAGAGAGACCTGTTTGTTTTGCCTTGTAAGCTGTTTTCCTAAAAAAATTTTAATTTTTATTAGTGCATGTTTGCAGTCTATAATGATTACATTCATCACAGGAAGTTGGTACATGTACATAACACACCTTGTTATGTCCTCTTTCATAAGCTCTTCTTTTTAACAGTGGAAAAAAAGGGAGTCACATTTAATTTCTTAGTGATCCAGGGAAGAATTTGAGCTTGACAGAGGTAGCCAAGCTCTAGGAACTGGTGGCTGTTTTCTACAAAAGCATTTGGGTAATTGGTATTTAGAATGGAAAGCAAGGTAGTAGTGTTTGTGCCTGGGGTGTACTGTTGGAATTGACAATTTCTAGTGGTGTGGGACTGTCCTGTATGTCCTGTATGTTCTGTATGTCCTGTATGTTGAATATCCCTGGCCAGTGAGCATGCTAACACTAGTCCTTGCAGCCTTGTAATAACTGTCTTCATCCCCACCACACATATTGCCAAATGCATGAGTACACATCATCTGGGGTCTAGGCCAGGGTCTGATCAAATCACTTAAGAAGATTAAGGCAAAGGAGTCCTGGCTCCCTCCTGAGAAGCTCTGCTAGGTGAGTGCTTCAGCTGGGGAGCAGCTAGAGGGGAAACGGGCATCTGTCCGTGTTCTCAAAGCCTGAAAGAGCTTCCTCAAGGATGGAGACATTGTTCTGGGCCTTGCTCCCAAGTCCTAGTTGGCCACTGTGGGCCTCTTCTTCCTCAGAACTTTGCAAAAGAATTCCTAGGACTAGGACCTATGCAGAGAAGGTAGTGATTTACTTTCCCTCTTGAACAACTGAGTATGAAATTTGCATTTAACTCTTAAGTAGGGATGAGGGTAGATTTCTAGTATCTCTCCTTCCCTTCCCTTCCTCTCCCTTTTCCCGAACCCTAAGTTTTCTCCTTTAAACACTTCTGAGCACTCTGACCTTTCCCTGTAACTCCTGTATCAAGCAATTCAAGTCACTCACTTCCCCGAAGGCTAAAAGTGAACACATACCAAATACCAGAGACTTATTAGGGTAAGGGTGGGAGAATCTGCAAAACCAACCCTGTTTGGCTCCTTCATACACACACACAGACGTGCGCGTGCGCCAAACCCCCAAAGTGATCAAGAATAGAATGTCCAGAGACTCTGGCCTGGCACTGGGTGACCAGGATTTGTTTCCTAACAGTGCCACTTAGCATCACCTTAAGTTTTCAGCTACTCTTTGGGCTTTTCTGTGTGCCAGGCATGGTGGTCAGCATTTTGTAAACCATTTAGCTCACTTAATTCAGTGTGAGCCCACTGTATGTATAAATGAAGACATTCATGCTCCGACAGTTAGGGCTTTGCCCAACGTGATCCATCAAGACGGACCCCAAGGTGGCCTGGTGTGGTAACAATCAGCTGGTCTTCAGAGTTCATCCATGTGTTCACCTTCTGTGAGTCTTCATCCTCATTTGGGAAGTACAGGAGCCCTTGTGGAAGCTGTGGCTGCTGCCTGACAACTGGATATCAGGTCCTGCAGAGGATAGGCTGGGTATCTGTGTGTTACTGACCGGTTTCTGTTTATTTAGCTGGAGTAAAAAAACAGAGCAGTTACCCCATGATGCTAAAAGCTGTCCCCACCAGGTGCTGCCAGCATCACCTGTCCCTTTGCGGTAATCTGCCCCCTTGTCCACCCACCCTCTGTCCTGCAGCCTGTGCAAAGCCAACTGACCCTGGCTACAGGGGCTCACTGGTATGTGGAATGTATGCCTATATATAGAAAGACACACACAAGCGCGGAAGCCACTTCCTCTCTCCTTCTTGGTTTCCTCCTCAGCCAAAATAGGCCCATGACCACTGCTCCTGACCTGGTTAGCTCACAGCCAAGGCCAGCTGCCACTGCCAGCTGCCCCTCACTCCTCCGGCCCCCAGAGCTGACCTCTGCCCTGCACAGGACGGAGGGGCTGGTGAAGTACAAATAAGCAGGAAAGGAACGATTATCTTTAGGATCTGGCTGCATTATTGTTTGTTCTAAAAGGGAAAAGAGGAGAGGGAGAGCCTGCTGGCAGTGGCTAGAAATGGTCTCATTGAAATCAGGGTATTTTTAGTTGCTTTGCTCAGCCAACAACTGAGAAGGCCACCTGTCCAAAGTGGCTGGCTCTCTGTACCCAGCTGGGATTACCTAGGGTTTTGCTTTTTGCTGTTTTCCTTGCAAGCTTTTTGGGCCCCATTTCATCATGATCTAATCTTTCCTGAGCTGAATTCTTTACTCAGAACAAAGGTGCAGCTCTGATGCTCTCATTCTGAGAGTTCTGAAGGATGCCTGGGTGAAACCATTAAAAGGCGAGGGCCAGACAAGACTGAGCCTCCAAAGCTGTGTGGCACTCCACATTCCCCAGACAGAGTTAAAGACAGATGGGAGGGAGCAGCCAGGCATAGTGATGCACCCCTGTACTCCAGAGGCTCAGGCAGGAGGCAAGTTTGAGGCCAGCCTGGGCTTCATAGAGTTAAAGGTCAGCCCAGACTATATAGTGAGACCCTGTCCCAAGCCCCACTCTCAAAAGGCTCAGAGGTAGTGTTCATCTAACATGAGTTTAATTACCACAACTGCAACACACAGGCGCTTCACCACTTCCTTATTTACACTGCCTGTGCCTCATAATGGTGCAACAGCATCTTTCTCCCACAAAAGGCATCCATCTGGGTGTCAGGCAGGTCACAGTGACTCCCATCAGCTATGGATCCGTCCTCCCTGTCCCTCTCATCTGCAGGTTGGGGTAGAAATGCATGTGTTGCATTGCAAGCCTCTTCTGGGCCAAGGAGGAGTCCTCTGCCAAGTTACAGATGGGACAGTGGGAGCACTGGTTAGGCCTTTAGCCCAACCCTTCCATGAGCAGAAAGCACAAGGGGAGAGAGAGGGAAGAGGGGCAGTAGGCTGGCTGCTGGCCAGCCCCAAGTGCCTGGCAGGAGTCAACCTGCGGGGAATTACCCGGAGGCTCCAGGGACAGCTACTGCTTTGTGACTTCTTGTCTGGAAGGGTGAGGAGGCTGGTAGGCAGATCTTATTTGCTCTGCACTGTGCCTGGGGCATGGCTGGCTGTGTCCTCTGCAGCTGCTTCTTCCTCAAACCCAGGGATGGCGTCAGCCTCTTCGGTGCCCTCGGGGCATCTTCACACCCTCTTTGAAGGGGCTGTCCTGGATGGGAAGTTCTCTCTTTCTCACCCAGATCCTAATTCTTCTGTATAAGGTCAATGGTAAATAGTTGAGTCTTTGCTGGTCCTGAGCTCTCAGCTCTTCTGATGGTGTATAGTACAGAAACTGAGCACAACTGTGTTCTGGTAACAATTAATAAATTCTCAAGTTTGATTGTTTTTGTCTCTACTGGTATAGATCAAACCTAAGGCCTTGAGCATGCTAGGCAAACATATACCCCTGAGCTACACTCCAGCCCTATATTTTTGTCATGAGATATAATTCTACTGTTATTGTTAGTTCATTTTTATGAGTTATTATTCTTCTGTTTTCAAACATTCTTAATTTGTGACCCCTATAAAAACAGGTTGTGAGTGAACCTTATTTGGCCCATAATCTGCCTTTACTCTAATTTGATGGGTTTTGGATGGCTTCTTCCAAAACTCAGGCCTGTGTTAGAAATCTGGGGGTGCAGCTCAGTGGTAGAGGGTGAATTTAACACACATGGGCTCAATTTATAGCAATACACCCAAAACAACAAACAAAAGAAACAAGTACCGGGGATGTAGCTCAGTGTGCAAGGCCTAGATTCAATCCCCAGTGGCACAGTGAGAAAGGGGGAGGAAGAAAGAAGAGAGGGGAGGAAACTGCCAAATTCAGAGTAAGTCTCCACTGAAATAAAAAGGTGCAAAATCAGTGCATAATTATGGTTCCAGCTATTTGCATCATAAGCCATTCAGAGAGACACAGATTTTATGAAATGTAGGTATTTCCCAAGCTCTAATTACATTCTCAGGGCTGTGTTTGGGAGGAATGGGTCATGTTCGGTGGTAAAAAGGACAAGCTCTTTAATCACATAGACTTTGATTTAAATCCAGGCACTGCTGCCAAGTAGCTCTATGAAAGTTTTTGGCAAATGACTTAACCTCTTTGGGCTTCATTTTCCTCATCTACAAAGGAAAATATCCCCTTTTAAGCTGTTTGGATCAATGAGAACACACTTGACTATGTTGGTATCCAAATGTCACAGAGGAAATACCCATGAGCCTTTAGACCATTGCTGTCAGTAACAACATGCTGTGTTTGGGATATTGAGAGGTAGGCCACATGCAGGCCACCAGCCTGGTGAAAAGGAGAAAACCAGGAAGGTATTGCCTGTGTGGTTTGTCTTGCACCAGAAGGCAATGTGTGCTTTGGTTCCTGAATACCTGTGTTCTCTAGATGGAAAATTCCTCACGGTCAACAAAGACTTGTTTATCCTGCCACTCTAGCTTAGTGGAAATATCCCTTTTAAGAATACCTGTCTAACTCTGTACACTCAGCACATGGTGGATATATCTAGTTTGAATGCCTGAGGAGTTTACCTGGTGGGAAAGTACAGGGAGAGCAAACAAGCTATTTGGAGTGCTCTACTGGAGAAGCTCCCAGCTGCATATGGGACCTGGCAGTAAGTCAGCAAGAGTCTTAGTCCTTAGCCAACTCTGGGTGGCTGCTGTAGGTCCAAACCATGCCCCATGATGCTTAGAGGCCAAGCACTCCTCTGCTCAGCCCAAGCAGCTAGCCAGTCTCTCCTGCTTTGATGACTATTCCTGCAGTGGTAAAGTAACCTGTTCTCCCTTCTTTCTCCCCTAGCAAGCTCCGGAACCAGGCACAGAGTGAACGATACGGGTATAAGGAGGTAGGTTCCCCCTCTTTCCCTGACACCTGCCTCTTCACCAGGTGCCATGATGGGGGTCAGGCAGGAGAAGAAGCCTAGGCTGTCCTGACCCTCAGCCTCTTCACCTGCCTGAGGCCAGCTCCTCTCCCTGTCCTCCAGCCAGGCTTGTTCCCTTCCAGGCTTGGTTCTCCCGACTCAGGCCTCCTTTTTGCTCCCCAGGTGGTACTTAAAGGCGATGCCAAGAAGTTACAGCTCTATGGGGTAAGTGGTCAGGGACTGCAGTGGGAGGCCTCAGCAGGTAAGGAAAGAGCACCTCTCTCCAGCTCTCAGCCTGAGCCTTTTACAAGAGCCTTTCTCATCCCTGCCTCTGTATCTCCTTTGGCCCCATTAAAGGGACTCTTCCCACCAGGTAGTCATTACATGGAATTCATCATTTCTGGAACCGGCTAGGGCAGGACACAAAGGGATCACAGGAGGGTTTGGTGAGTGGTGACATCCAGCCCCAGGACTTCAGCTGTGCGTAATGTGTAAGGGAATGATGGTTGCTCCACTCCATGCCATGGGCACACTGCAGTTAAGTTTCTCCACATCCAGCTCTGGTGGCCTGCTTTTTCATTGAAGAAAATCAAGTGCTTTCCCCATGTATACACCTGTCCTCACAGACCACGTCTGACTAGTGTACCCATTCCAGTGGCTCTTCCTCACCACATATGCCGGTTCCTTGAGTTTCTCAACTCTAACTCTTTTAATCAGCCCTTTTCTGCTCCTTCTCACCTATGCCACTCCTTTCCCACTTATTTCCCTGGGCTTCTGCCCATAACCACAGACATTCCTAATCAAAGTGTTTGTGGTCCTCCAGGAATGGGGAGGATCCAAGCATCACCAAGCATGAGACTGCCTAGACATGGCCTCATTTTATTCTTGTTTTTGATGTCCACTATTACATTCAGCAAGTTCATGTGTTTCCTAAGACTTTCTCTATAAGAATAATTCAGCTGAGACATATAGGGACCTAGACAGATTTGGTAGCACATGTCAATAATCCCAGGACGGGCAGAATTCAGGCATGACTTCAAGGTCAGCCTGGGCTACAAAGTGAGTTCAAACCTGGCCTGGACTACATAGTGAGGCCCTGTCTCAAAAAACAAACAGCAAAACCCCATAAAGGACTTAAGCCAGGATTTGAAGGACACAACTCACCACATTCTTCCTCATTTCTAGCTCTTACTGACAAGTGCCCCCATATATTGAGCTAGAAAGATTCAAAACAATACTTGTAGAATAGCACCATCCAAAGGAAACTTCAGTGATAATGGAGTGTTCTGTCTATATTATCCCATGTGGCAACCATTAACCTAATGTAGCTACTGCACATTTGCAATGTGGCTTCCACTGAAGCACGAAGGAGGCCATGGATTCTGTTTCAAAATAACTGTAAGCTAGCCAAGTCGACCCCCTGAGCAAAGCCCGCTCTCCCAAGTTGAAAACAATTATGGTCCAGAAGTTAGCATGAAATTAAATGTCCAAGAAACACTGTAAGGATTTGACCCCTTTATGAATTTTGTGATGCATGAATGTATGGAGCTTGCTGCTGGCAGGTAGCAGAACAATGCTGGTAACATGAGAAAATAATATCACATTTGAAGCCTTAGGATGAGTATAGATCCTGTTAGGCAGAGAAATTCAAGTCCTGTCTCCAAAAGGCATGATTTTTTTTTCTCTCCCTCTCTTCCTCTTCCTCTCTCTGCCTCTTTCTTTCCCTGGCTCTCTGGCTCTCCTGGCTCTCTCGGCTCTCTCTCATTCTCTCTTTCTCATACTGGGGATTGAAGTCAGGGCCTCTCACATGAGCACACACTTTACTACTGAACTACACCTCTAATCCACCCCCCCACCATTTTGTTTTTTGAGACAAGGTCCTGCTACATAGTCCAGGCTGGACTTGAACTCGCTATGGGGCCTTGAACTTGCAGTCTTGTTGCCTCAGCCACCTGAGGGCTGGGATTACAGGTGTATGCCACCATGCCTGACCACATTTTTTCATATTAAATTTCTCTTAAATAAATGATTATAATATGAAAAATAAATACGGCCAGTGCAAGGCAGGAGGTAACTTTAGTCTTCTTTAGCTTAATTTAAATTTAAGCAGCCACATGGTTAAAGGCTACCATACTGTTGATGTAGTTTTGTAAAATAGGCTAAATTTGTCTGTCTGACTAAGGAGACTGGGCTAAAGCTTAGTGTTCTTGGCCGAGGATGAGATCATGATATCCAGGATGGGTGAGTAGGTACTTGCCAGTCTCCTCTCACAGGCCCTCCTCTCTCTCCACAGCATACCTGTGCCGTGTGTCTGGAGGACTTCAAGGGGAAGGATGAACTAGGTGTGCTCCCATGCCAACATGCTTTCCACCGCAAGTATGTGGGGATGTGGGCATGGCTGCCTGTTGGAGAAGTAGTCAGGGAGCATTGTAGGGAAACTTCCAGTCCCTGCCTCCTCCCATCTACCAGTGATGCCCTAGATTCTGCCCTGCTTGGAGAACAAGCCAGCCAGAGGGGTTAGGCTGGGGCAGGCATAGGGATGTTCTTGTTCTGAGAAGCAGCTGGGCACTTGGAGGCAGCTGGAGTGGCCTGGGGAAGCTGCCCAGAGATAACAGTCCTTTGTTCACAGGTGTCTAGTGAAATGGTTGGAGGTCCGCTGTGTCTGCCCCATGTGCAACAAGCCCATTGCAGGCCCTACAGAAGCCACTCAGAGCATTGGGATCTTACTGGATGAGCTGGTATGAGCACTGCTGTGCCAGGAAATGGAGACCACCTCTTGCTCTGTGGATGCCTGGCCCCTCACAGCCACACCGAATGAGACTGTTGAATGGTGATAGTCACATTCACCTGAAGGGGAGGGCGGGGCAGGGCTGGTGTCCCACCCTAAGGGTGAGATCAGTACCAGACTTGCCCATCTTTCTGCCTCTGGAAGCCTTCCTATCACTCATTACCTACGGCCTCACCCAGCCAGACTTCTGTGCCCTAGTACTGGACATCTTCCTACCTTGTCCCTGCTTGGGAAGGAATCCACCCTTACCTGACCATGGACATTGAGCCCGTCCTCCCTCAGTGTTCCCAATAAGAGGACAACCTGTCCCAAGCTGTCAGGGAGAGGCTGGCTCTGCCCCACCTACAACCTCCGCTCCCCTCCCTACTTCCACAGAAGAATTGAGGGAAGGAAGGAAAGACCGAGGAACCAGGCAGCTCCACTGGAAGTGGAGGGCAGGGACCTCTACAAAGAAAACAGTCAATGTTTACATGGGACCTAGTGAAACAGGTTGGGTTAGCCAGAGGCAGGCTGACTGCAGGGGGATGCGGAGCCCTGCTTGCCCCTGCTAGGACCTGAGGTGCTATCTATCTATACCCACCCTTGCCTCTTCCTCAGTTATCTCAGAGCTTCCTATTCCATGATGGGGTTGGAGAGCCCCTCCAGAGGAAGGCCTGTTATACACTCAGCTGCTCCCCAGGGGCTTTTTCTAAAGGGGTGAAAGGGGGAGCCCAGGGACGGGAGTATTGGAACTTACAGTATGGACAAATACCTGCTTCCCCTTTGTAAATAGTATTTTTATACTTCATCCTCACCACCTCAGGCTTTACACGTGGGATTTCCTTCCCTGCAATGGAGAGGGTAGGAATCTTCCCTTCCTCCCCAGAATGGGTGAGGGTGGGAGAAGGGTATGTATTTAAAGAAAATTAAATTTAATAACAATTTTGTCTAACCAATTTGCCTGTGGTTGTGGCTCTCCCTCCTGGCTGCTCTGACAGTAGAGAGAACAAAGTTCTCTAACTGGCTCTTCCTGCCTTCCCCTACCAAAATCAGACATGTGTACAGAGTTGATCCTAATCCCTTCTTATTTTTTTTAAGTTAAAACAAGGTCTCACTATGTTGCCCAGGTTGGTCTAAAAGTTGTCATTGTGCCTGAGTCTCCTGAATGGCTTGGCTTGTATGTGTGCACCATCACACTCAAATGTTCTTGTCCTTAAAATTAGCCAGGCATGGTGGTGCATGCCTATAATTCCAGCACTAGGGAGGCTGAGGAAGGAGGCTCCCTTGAGTTCAGGAGTTAGACACCAGCCTGGGAACCCATCTCAAAAGAAATTTTTTAATTGGTAATAGATTATCACTTGTACAACATAGTTTAGGACTAATACCAGTGTACAGTAAAAACTTACTTAGCCAAGCTCATTTATCAGATTTCTCAAATATTTTAAAGTTAATGTTTTCAAGTACTTCATTGCACTAAAGCTTGGAACTAATAAAATTCTACTTGAAATTGTCAGTGCCCTTACTAACAAGGTCTAGTTTGCTTACCAGAGAAGCCTGATCTTTTGCCCTTTTCTTACCTGACCTCTGTCACTCACTGGCTGGCACATCCTGGCCCATAACATCTATCTGGAGGTGTCAAATGGTAATACTTCATGGGCCAGTGTGTGCTCAGATCTTACACACATGTCCTTCAGCCCTGCTGTCAGTGTAACGAGTCAGTAGTGGGTGTGTCCAGTGGGCTGAGAGTTAGGAATGCTTTTCTTGGCTATGACTGTATGAGGATGAGGCAGGGGTCCCTGTTTTCCTCGTGCCAGGGGTTGATACTGGGTGGCCAACTGGGGAGCAAGTGCTGAGTGCTGAGGATTAGGAGCATGTGCTGAGTGAATTGCAGTGTGCTGTGGAGTTGGCTGTGCAAGAGATGCGCGTCCCGAAGGTGCCAAGGGTCCTCCCATCCCTGCAGGTGCACCATGGGAATACAGCACTTTGTACTCATGGACAGCCCCAGAGGTGCAGCTGAGGCACCTGCTGTCCTCGTGTTATCAGAACCTGTCTTCACCCACAGGTGCACCTGTTCTTGATACTTCCTTCCTCTTCACACCATAACCCTGCTTAAATCCCCACCCTTCTAGCTACTGCCAGGCGTATGGAGCTTGATCTTGCTTCATCAAGGGTACCACTTCCTCCTCTAGTACTGCTAGCTTGCTTTAGTGCAGGGGGAAATGCATTCTCTAAGCAAAATAAAACCTTCTGTCTAGCTCCTGCTGTGGCCTCGTGGTGGATGCTGGTAATCAGTAGATTGGCTTCACATCTCTTGCCTCATTATCTCCCCTTTCTTTTAAGGAAAATTTATCAGTATTGAATGCATTAGTGTTTGTAGGAAAACGCTATGACAGATATGCATTTTATGAGTAAAATATGACACCTATAATCCCAGCATATGGGAGGCTGGAGCAGGAGGATCGCCAGGAGTTTGAGGCCAGCTACATAGGGAGACCCTATCTCAAGCCAAAAATAAGTAAATGCATTTCACAAATTTTCAAATCAATTTTTTGAGTTCAAAATGATGAGAAATACATTATAGTGCTTCCATTCAAGTCACATAATATGTATTACAGAGTGCGTAAAAGGGAAAAAAACCAAGGTATTGCTTAGCTGATCAGCTTAGCTGACAGCAGCTGTGCACAGGTTAAATCATGGTAAGCCCCAAATTCAGTGTCATTAGCATGGTCTTGTTGCTTGGTGCAGTATTTCTAGACATCTGCTGCAGACAGGTGCTGGAGGACAGAAAGGTCCTTGCTTTGGGGAAAAGGCACAGGTGCTGTTCTTTGGGTGAGTGAGCTTGAGTGGCAGAGAGATCCCTAGCTTCACTGGTGTGGAAGCAACAGTAAGATGCTGGCCTGGATGTGATGCCAGAGAGAGTCCTATCGCCAAAGTTCCATGAACATTAACCAGCCTGTTTGGGACCAGAGAGTGCAAACAATTTTGTATGAAGCTGGAATGGGGAAAGACAGGTTGAGAAAAGTCCTGAGTGGAGCCAGAAACAAGGGGTTTGATACAGTAAATATCCTAAAATTTCTTTAGATCAGGCTTTTAAAAAAATCTAGGTATCTTTTGAGCACCAACCCAATTGTTTTTTCCTTTGTGCACTCAGACAACTCCATAAGCAACTGTAGTACATCTAGTGCTATTTAAATTAATGAAGACTGTGCACCCCAAATGCATTTCAACGGGGAAACCACTGAAGGAAACAGTGATTGCATGTATAACAGGATTCCAACTGCACTGGTAATTCAGAGGCCATTTTGATCAATCAGAAGATAATAAGTGGCTACCAACCTAAAACCATTTGCTTTCTTTTCTGGAGTTTGGATTAGGGACAGAGTATTGAGAAAGGCAAATAGTTTATACACGGATATTGTGAGGGCAGAAACAAACCCAGATAGTGTGATATCTAAGTTCAATGTCAGCTTTACTCCTCACTGCTTAGGAAGCAGCAGGCTCTCCGTGAAGATATTCAAGAAAGTATCAGGTGTTATTAACTCCTGGGCTTATCCATACAGGGAAGACAACAACCCCCAGAGAACTGTCAGATGATATGTGTGCTTGCCATTATGTATCACCATGTGGTAGTCTTGTTTCTGTTTGTCTTTTTAACTCCACAGTGAACGACTTAAGTCTTATGTGGACCTACCACTTATAAAATGGGTAACTGCAGTGAGGATAGAAATTCAGAGTTCCTGTTGTCAAATTTTGAGAATCACTGTCTACCACAGATTGGAAGTGTGTCCTTTGAAGAATTATATTCTGGGTGGGGGTTTTAGCTCAGTGGCACCATGCCTGACTAGCAAGTGCAAGGTCCTGAGTTCAATTCCCTGTACTGGAAAGAAAATTGTATTCTCTGGTGTTGAAGATGTAGCTCAGTTGTAGAGTACTTGCCTAGCATGCCGGAGGCCCTGGGTTCAACCCCCAGTAGCCAAAAAGAATTGTGTCCTCCCATTCTCACTTCTCCCCCATCAGTTCTTACTCCTGAACCCACTGCAGCTCCACTAGGGCTTTTTCCCATTCTCAGGATCTTATTTTATGCCTCCCCAATTTTCTCATTTTTCTCCTAAGTTAAGATCAACCTGTGCCTTCTATTCCAGCACCCTTTTCAATGTCTCTGACCATATCATTCACAGGTCAGTCTTCTGTTGAAGCCGTTAAGTACAGACAGGTTCAGAAGAACAGAAGTGATCAAATTGGAGACAGTACAAAATGACCAATTATGCACATTTGTACAAATTTGTGGAAAATATTAAGACCCAAGCCTTGGATTCCCTCTGACTCTACTAAAAAAAAATAAAAACTTTGTTCATTTAATTCCTTTCTGATAAATGGGTAGACTATACAAAGAGGGAGGACATCTGGCGTCACACTTGTACTATGGTATGGCACCTGATTCTTTGCCTATGTGACAGTCTTCAGAAGAAATCAGGACATGTGCTTTGTAGAGGAAGGGGCAACAAAGAACACCACAGCATCAGGAGGAGAATGTTTTTGGTGACTGTTCTTTCTAGTCTTGACTTCTGCATTGACACAGCACATTCTTATCCATCTCTCCTCTTCCATTTATTTTTTCTCCTTTACCCTTTTCCCTCATCTCACCCTACTAATTAATATTGCTGAGAACACCAAGACATTTCAGAATCTTCCCTATGAGACACCAGTGTCATGAATGGTTCAAAAGACGCACAAATTACCACACTGGTGTACACCCCCACAGGGGCCAGCTCTGAGTTTCCAAATGCTTAGTATTATATATGTTCATTCTGTCTCAAGAGAGTGCTGGGTATTCTCAAATATGGAGCTGGAATTTGTGAAGACTTTGATATATTAAAGAAGTGATGCTATGTTAGGGAGGCCAATAAATCCAAACCCAAATGAAGGAAAAACTAGATTTGTTTAGTAAATGTCAGATTGGGTATTAAAATATCAGAACAAATTCAAAATGTGATAGCACAATTATAATGTGCCAGGGAGTCGTTTTCTCTACCACCTTCAATATTGAAATCGCTATCGGGTTATTTGACTGCAGGAAAACAGAGGAGGTGTAAAAATTCCCATGATGGGCTGGAGGGCTAGAGTGCAAGTTTCCGGGTTCTATCTTCAGAAAAGTGTCCCATGAGGAAGAAACAAGAATATTTTAAACCTGGAGGTATAAAGACTAAAGGACAAGCATTTTATTGTTGCTTTCAGTACTATGCTGTAAGCATGAATCTCCACCACAAACTCAGACCATCTAGAAATTATTGTTTTCTTTCCTTTAAATTGCTTTTGGCTCTGAGCCATCAAACTTCTGAGATAACAAGGAAATCCATCCTTTGTCTGCAATGCTATATCTCCTCACAAAAATGCTCATGGGTCTCAGTGCCACACAGACAAACACCCGCAATTCCATGCTTTGGTATACACTGTTTACCTACTGAGCTGTCTTTCAGGCCCCAAAGACATAGCTTTCCCCCATCTACTATCTTTGGTGCCAGGTTTGGAGGATGGGAAGCTTACAGAAGCGACAGAGGCCCGGCTCATCCAGATCCCACACAGCCACTGGCATTGGCCACCTCTGTAGGGCTGCCTGGGAACTAAGATGCAGGTCCTCACTACTGGTGGGACTCACCACTTTTGGCCTTTTCAAGCAGAAAGGGTGTAGGATGAACCACTTGAACTCTACCATGGACATTTTGATGTATTTACCGTATCACACATCTATCCATAATCAATGTCCTTTTTAAACACGTTTCAAAGTAAACTTCGAACGCCAGTGCTCTTTTTAATATTGATTTTTACAAGTAGCTTCTCTTTTTGTAAGTGAACTGAGGATGACTAGGAAACTGCCTTGATTATGAAGATAAACAGATAAACTTTCTGACTAGTTTTGAGTAGCTCCAACTTCTAGGTGGTTTTAGGAATAACTCAGGTCTGAAATATATATTTATTTGTTTTTGTCTGTGTATTGTGGTGCTGTGGATGGAACCCAGGGCCTTGCATATGTTAAGCATATGCTTTACCACTAAGCCATACTCCCAGCCCCTCATTTTATATTTAAAATGCAGTCATAGGGGTGAAGAGTTCTTCATGGCCCCAGTTAATTTTTAACGTTTCTAAATTATATGTTGTGTATCAAAGCAAAAAGAGAGAAATGTATCAGAAGTATGAGACACATCCCCTTGGTGCACATTTTAACATTTTTTGCACAATTACCCATGGACTATGCTCATTTTGGATTTTTTCCACACCCTAAATTTAGCAAGCTAGAATTATCTCTAAAGCACCACTTAAAGCAACCTTCTTGAAAGGAAGAATGCCGACAAGGGGAAATCTGTTTCCTCATGGTTAGAATGCAGTATCCCTAACTAAGTCATTTAGCCAAGAAGCAGAGTTTTACTATATGCTACAAAGACAGTAATCCAGCATATTCATTACAGGTTTGTAAGAGTAAAAACTTATACACTCCGATTCAGAAATATGAGAAACACAGGCTCAGCTGCCAGGCAATGTATTAACAGGCATCCTTGCTTTGTGTATTTGGGAAATTGCGCACATTGAATTGAATAATTGCCTTCGAGGTGCCAGGGGGATTTCATTGTTTAGAGGAATTCCATGTTGAGTCTTTTTATGGCTAAAGCACACCTCCCCCTTTTTGGCAGTACTGGGGATTGAACCCAGGGCCTTGTGCATGCTAAGCAAGCTCCCTGCCTTTGAGCTACTCCTCTAGTGCCAAACCATTCTTTAAAGTGGAATTCAAAAACTTTTCTACTTTTTATTTTATACACTTTGAAACACAAAAATCTGCATTTTAATATTTATTTTTTGCCATTTGATATCAGAACACTTTATAGAGCACAGCTATTAATTAGAAGGAAGTAGTACCATCACAGGACCAGAAAACAAATTAATGTAATAGAATGGATACCCAGGGCTGGAAGGGAGGGTGACATGCATTTGTACATGCAAATTTAACCTCTGAGAACAGAGGAATTTTAAAAATAAATTTAAAAATTTTTTAAAGTAAGGCATGCTTACATAAAACAATTTGAAGTAATTTCTTTAAAGTCTTATTTTACAAAAAAATTCATGACATGGGCATGAATGAAGGAAGAGTGAGTCTGAATGAATGATTTTTGTTCAATTATTAGTTTTAACCGGGGAAGGGCTCCTAGCACTGTAGCAAAATCTCAGGGCTGCCCCTCTCTCCACCTCCTCCACCCAGGTTGACCTTTGAGTTTACTCCTTACATACTGTGGGCCCTGCCACACTCGTGGGCATTGTCATCTCGGTTGCCTTCCTCCCCATGACACGTCTCCTGTTGGTAGTGAACAGGTGAAATCCTCACTCCAGCCCACTTCCAGCTCTGTCCCCCAGAAGGAAAAGGAATCCATCAGAAAGTGGTCCATCCAATGGTTCATGGTCTCTTCTCAACCACACTAGATTTTTAGTTAGAAATGAGCCTTTCCTTACTACAGATCATTAAAAAGTGACAATGCCAACCAAAAAGGAGGGCAGGGGAGGACTCAGTATATGAAAAACAAAGGTTCACTGCCAACAATCATTGATGACATGCGGTTGTGTTTTAGAAAAATATGGGTATTTTCCCTTCTCATTATAGGATTAATTTATATAGTGGAATAAACAAAGCTAGTGTTGGAATCCAAAAAATGAGCTATAGCTTAGCTCTGCTTCTAATTAGCTGTGAGAGCCCAGCCTAGTTCCTCAATCTTTTAAGCTTCATTTCTCCAATCTGTAGAATGGAGAGAAAAGTAAAGGCCTAGAGTCCATTTAAGAAGACCATATATGCATATAATGTTAATATGTACCTGTTGTGAGTGTGGCACCAGGTCATGATGTGACTGTTATTTACCACCCTGAAGTTTTCCACACAGCTGGAAACATCTCTTAAGGAGCAACTAAAATAGGCAACAAGTGGTTTGTCCATTTCTACAAATCTTAGAATATTAGTTTATCAAAAAGTAAAGCACTGGGTCTGGGATTTAGCTCAGTGATTCCACTGCCTGCCTCAAAAGCACAAGGACCTGAGTTTGAACCCTAGTATCAAAAAAAAAAAAAAAAAAGATGAAAAAAGTAAAGCATTAACTGTCATTGTAAAGCTAGAAAGAGTGACTTTAGTCAATAAGATATCTTACTTTAAGGTCCAGACTTTTGGGTCTGTCAGCAATAGGGGAGAAATAGTTTGATTTTTTTGTTTGTTTGATTGTCTGTTTTTAAGGGGAAAAGGGTTTATTTGGCTTACAGTTCATAGAGGCTTCAGTCCATAATCGGCTGGCTCCAAGGCAGGGTGGCAGAGGGACAATAGTTCAAAGCAGTGGAAGCAGCAAAAGGGAGCTTGGCAGTGCCTTTCTTCTCCTTTACTCTTATTCAGACTACTGGGATCAGGGCAGTGCCAAACCAATCACTCATGTGTAGTGGTTTAGTAATCATATGCCCTTAATTCTAGCATCATACACTCTAGATTCAGTTACCTATGACCGTATGAGGCTTTGAGAGGACTTCTAGATGAGTTTGGGGTATTTTTGAAGGTAAGTACAATGTGTCTTCAAGTGCTGGTGGGAAGCCAGGGAGCCAGAAGCCCAAAAGCCAGATCCTGCAGGAGGAATATTCTGATTGGAACAAATAAATACTTTCTGAAGGAAAAAAGGAAAGAAAGAAAAGCATAAACAAGAATGCATATGGAATTCTCAAAGTTATAATAATTATGTGCCACGCATGTTGGCCCATGCCTGTAATCCCAGCTACTCTGAAGGCTCAGGCAGGAGGATTGCAAATTTGAGGCCAGCCTGGGCAACTGTCTCAAAATAAAGTATCTAGGGATGTACCTCACTACTCCCTGTGTTCAATCATCTCTGTATTAAGAAAAAAAAAGTCATACTAATTACGAGCTATTACTGTTTCACAAGTCAAAGGGAGCTATGCCACCTAATAAGGGGACTACATGAAAAGTGTAAGAATTAAGAAAGCTTGCACATTTCCCCCTAACCATCCTAACCAATACAACTGCCCATTATGGAGCAGATTCTTTGTCACAGGTGCTGCATTTAGGATTTGCCTTCCATCACTGTACCAATAAAAAAGACCAAAATGGTTCCTAGTTCCATTTATGGCCTACCAGGAGAGATGGACATTAAACAAACACACACACATGCCACCATGGTAAGAGGAAAGAGGTTCATTTGGCTTACAGTTCATAGAGGTTTCAGTCCATAATCGGCTGGCTCCAAGGCAGAGTGGCGGCAGGGCAATAGTTCCCACCTAAGTTACACAGAAGTGTGGGGTAGGCACAGAAGGCCTTCTAAGAAAGGGATTTAAGTTGAAATCAGAAGAGTGACAGGAGGAGAAGCAGACAGAAGAGCATACATAAGCACTCTGAAGCAGTCTAGAGTCTATGGCCATACCACCCAGAATGCGCCCAATCCCATCTGAAGCAGACCAGAGTTTGGACCATGAAGGAACAAATCCCATGTAATTAGAGCTAAGTGAGAGAGTGGGAGGGGAGATACATGATGAGGCCAAGGGACACATCATGCAGGGCCGACCTAGTAGCCATAGTGAGGAGTTGTAATTTATCATAATGAGACTAAGCAGAGAAGTGGCATTTTCTAAGTTTTTAATAGAAATGGGATTATGGCCAAGAGTAGAAGACTATGGGAGAGGTTCAAGGGAGGTGGGCTTGGACTGAAATGGGACAGTAGCAGAAAAAAAAAAAAAGAAAAAGAAGAAGGTCAGGGGTGTGGGCCCCTGGGTTCAATCCCCAATCCTGGGGAAAAAAAGAGAACAAATTCAAGACACATATAGCTAAATGGATGCACATTGAGGACATACTCTTAAGTGAAGTAAATAGGACACACATGTGTAAATACTGAATAGTTTCTCTGGTGTAAGAAAATGAAACTGTAAATAAGGATCAAAATGAATAACTGATAATGTGAAATAGGAAGAAAAAGTCCAAAGGGGTAGGGGAAGTGGGAGGGTTAGGAATGAAGGGAAAGGAAAAAATATGAGAAAATAAAATGGAAACAAAGCCTTTGTAAATGGGGAAGGGTGGAGGAGTTGACGGGAGGGCAGGGGAATGGGGAAAAAATAAGAACCAGAATACATCATGTGAGGGTACAAATTCCCAATAATGAATGTAAATGTATTGTATACCTAAAATGTACCAATAAAAGAATTTAAGAGGAAAAAATAAAAAATAAATAAATAAAAATTTAAAAAATAAAGGACTGAGGAGACACCTCGGGGGTAGAATGGTTTGCCTAGCATGGATCCAATCCCCAGGACTAAAAAATACACATGTCAACTTGAAATCTGAAAAAAAAATTCAAGATACCTTTTGGAGATTAAAAAACAATAGGATTTGCTGATAGATTGTGTGTGGGGAGAGAGAATATTAGCAAGGACGACTCTCAGGTTTCGGGCTAAATAAGGAAAATAGAGGGATTATTTAAAGTAAAAATAGATAAATAGATTGCATCAAACTAATGAAGTTCTCTTCAGCAAACAAGTACAGAACATGGAAACATATTATAGAATGGGAGAATATATTTGAAAACTCTACATCTTAAAAGGCATTCAGAATACAAGAAACTCAATTCAATAGCCAATAATAATAATAATCCAATTTTTTTAAAGTAATTTTCAAACAGGGTCTCCCTGTTTAGTTCAATCTGGCCTTGAACTCACTATGTAGCCCGGGCTGGCCTTGAACTCACCATGATCCTCCTGACTCAGTCTTCCAAGTGCTGGGATTACAGGCATGCACCACCACACTGGGCTAATAATCCAATTTTAAAATAGGCAAAATATCTAAATAAATACCTCTTTTTTTTTTTTTTTGTACCGGGGATCAAACTCGGGACCTTGTGCTTTCAAGGCAGGCCCCGGAACCACTGAGCTAAATCCCTGGCCCTAATAAACACTTCTTAAAAGAAGACATATAAATGACCCACAAATATATTCACTAATGATCAGGGAAATTCAAATCAAAACTACAGTCTGAGTAGAACAGAACAGAAATATCACTTCACACCAGTTAGAATGGCATTGTCAAAAGACACACAATAACTGCTTTCAAGGATGTGGAGAATGGTGAGTCTAATAAACAGTTGGTGGAAATCTGCCACAACATGGGTGAGCCTGCAGGACCTTAAAGTGAGACAAGGTAAACACAGAAAGGAAAATATTGCACAATTTCATTTATGTGAGAACGCAAAAAATTCAAATATACAGAGATCCCAAACAAAAGAGTGGGTACCAGGAGTTGGGTGGAGGACAAGGGGACTTATAGATCAGAGAATTCACAATAACATAATTGGGGGATGAACAAGTCTAGAAACTTACTATCCAACATTAAGACTATAGGTAAAATCATATGGTATATGGGATTCATGCTAAATAATATTTGAGCTATTCTTGATACAAAAGAGATACGTAACTATGTTAGATGATGAATATGTTAATTTTCTTCCCCATAGTAACCTTCTAATTATCTATACGTATCCCATTACATCATGTTGTACATCTTAAATATACACAATAAGATTTATTTTTAAAAATAAAAGGTAGAATAAGAAGCTTATAGAAGGCAAAGATTTAAAAGGGAAGATTCATGTTTTAGTTTAGAAATGTTTGGTTTACTTCTGAGGCATATAGAAGGAAGTGTCTGGTAGGAATTACAGAGCTGCTGCTCAGCAATGGGCATGTGCCACAGTTGGCAGGTGAACCTGGTTCTGAAGGCCCAGGGAAGCATGAGTCACCTCAGGGAGAAGGCTAGGCAGCAAGTAGAGAAACCCAGATAGACCAGAAAGTTGCAGAGGAACTGGGAGAGGAGTGACAGCAAGGAGGAGAACCAAGGAGCTGGGCTCACCACAAGCAAGAGAAGAAAAGATTTAGGGAGAGAAAAGTCAGGAGTCAAACACTGCTTTGTGGCTGGGGGTACAGCTCAGTAGAAGAGCCCTTGGCTGGGCACAAGAAGGCCCTGGGTTCCATCTCCAGCACTGGAAAAAAACATCAACAACAACTCATCACCACCAACAAAAGGTCCTTGGAGATCAAATAAGAGGGATATGAAAGAGACTACTAAACTTGGCAGTAAGGAGGCTGCTGGTAGCCAGAGTAAGAACAGTGTTGCTGGATTGGAGGGATGTTTTGGTGGGATGGAAGCAGAATTGAGTGTGCTGAAAAAGAAGTAAGAAGAGAAAAAAATTCCAAAAAAATGAAAAGAAGCAAAACAAGTGACTCTGAATGTATATCAAGATAGTCATGTAGCAACTATGTTAGCTAGGATTCTCCTGAGAAACAGAATGTATAGAGAAAATTTAAATAAAATTTGTAGGAGGCCATTGTTTGAGATGAAGCTCTCACACAGCCACAGCATGAAGCTAAAAATCACAATAGAGTCACTGATGCTAAAGTTCCACATTACCACACTGGAATGAAACTTTTATCTGACCCAAGAAACCAGGAGCAATAACAGCCAAATTTCCCAACAGGCCAGTTTAAGTTGGCAAGATAGTGATTTTCCCACTGCCTTAATGCTTACACAAAGAAGGTAGCCTGAAGTAACCTGACACTAACTGATTATTTATTTTTGTTATTCTGACCCCACCTTAAAATGACTGGTCTGCTTTGTGTTCTTGTAGTTCCTCTTTCTTCAGCCTTTTTCTATTTACAAGGGCTGATCAAAAATATAGTGTGTATTTAAAATTTTAAAAATTATTACAGTCAAAGACACATTGCCATTAATCTCCCTCAAGTTACTACCCCTCCTTTTAGACACACTTGTCCCATTGTTTTGCCACTTCCTGAAAGAGTTCTGGAAAACCTCTTCCTGAGTGTCTTTAGGATGTGTGATCAAAAATTCAGTGAATACTGCTGCTAAGTGACATCTAAAGGAAAGGCAGGCTCATAAAAAACATTAGTGTGTCCTCATCATCAAATCCACTGGATGTCATACCATGTGACTTCTAGCTGTTGCCCAAAGTTAGAATAACCATGAAAGCCAAATGTTTTGAATTGATTCAGGACATGGAGGTACTCCTGACAGTGAAACTAAAGACAATCATGAAAGAAGACATGCAGAACTGCTTCAGAAAGTGCCAAGAAAAATAGGATAAGTGTATCCAAAGCAAGGGGGATATTGTGAAGGAGATTCACAATAATGTGTCCTTTACTATAATAAATTTTTGTTAAGCAGTCACTGTATATAAAACCAACCTCTTTAGTTTAGCCAGTGAGAACACTCATTCTGTTTTATGGAATGAAGTATTGCTGGCTCTGTAATTGAATAAAGTCAATTAAGATCATTAAGCCATAGGCTAGGGGTATATTTCAGCAGTAGAGCCCTTGCTCAGTAGGCATGAGGCCCTGGGTTAAATTCCCAGAACCACACAAATAAGACACAAAATCATTACATTAAGTTGTGATTGTTCCCTTTAGCAAGAAATATATAAGAGGACATTTACGGTGAGAAGTGCCTCCCATGAATGCAGAGGCTGACAAGTCCTATGATTTGCTGAATGAAGGCTGGAAAGCCAGGGAAGCTGGTAGTGTGATTCAGTCTGAGTTGAAAGAAACACTTGTGTAAACCCCATAGTCCCAAGGCTCAAGGACTTGGAGACCTGCTGTCCAAAGACAGGAGAAAATGAGTGTCCAGCTCCCAAAGAGAGCAAATCTGCCTTTCCTGCCCATGTGTTCTATACTGGCCTCAGTGGATTGGAGCTGCCCACAAACACTGGTGAGGATGCATCTCCCTTACACAGTTCACTGGTTCAAGTGCCAATCTTTTCCAGAAACCCCCTCCCAGACCATCCCAGAAACAGTGCTGTCCTGGCTATCTAGGTGTGTCTTAACCAACCATCACAGCCATACTGAAAAAGCAAATGACTTGAAACAGTATTTTTTCAAAAATCTTTGTGCTAATATAATCACACTATATAGATATGCATTTCTTTTTTTTTAGATATGCATTTCTTATGACCTAAAAAACATCAAAATTCTATCTCAAATTAGTTCTTAGAAATGTACAACACCAGAGATTTAGCTCAGTGGCGTTGCACCTGCCTTGCAAGAAATGTACAATATCACACTTTAACTTTTAGTAGTTTAAGAAGTAGCTGAGGAAAAACAAATCATACAAGAAACTACAGTTTTGATCTTGTGTTATATCTTTGCTTTGTTTAAAAGCAGAACTTGTAGTAGTGCCAAACAAACCAAATATTCACAGTGTAGATATTAAAGTTTTACCTCTAAAGGAAGATTCAGTGTAGTTGATGCAAATACCATTGAAAGAACAGCAAAAGAGAACTTAATTATTGGGGCAGGAGGTATAGATGTGTTATATATATGTACCAACTCCACAGGAAGAATGAATCAATATGTGCTGCAAACGTGTACTAAAGAAAATGAAATTTTAAAAAAGACTGGGGCTCAGGGGGGATTTAGCTGAGTGGCACCACGCCTGCCTCTCAAGCAAAAAAAAAAAAAAA